CAGCACTCCTACAACCATGTCTACTCTACCTTAACTTGTTCTTCGTTCCTACCGCAAACGCGGTCGCCCACCTTCGGACGGACCTTGCCTTCACACCAACGTTCGCGAAGAACTTTCTTGCCTTTCTCACCCTGCACCGCCTTTCGAAGTGACGAGGATGATGGCACAACCGTTGTTACCACAGACAGCAATGTTGCTGACTCGTTTCTGGTCCCACAGTCGTCGTCGTCATCATCATCATCATCATCATCATCATCGTCATCGTCATCGTCATTGGTTAATACTAGTAGTTCATCACCGGCCTGCAGCAATAGTAGCAGCAACGGTGGTACAGCTACATTACCGCCGTTGTCGTTGACGTTGCAGCGGGGTGCGGAGAGTATGAAACGTGCGTGCTGCGCAAAGGAGGCAGCGAGGTCTTTGTGGGGGTTTGGAGTTGGTGTTGGGGAGATGGTGGAGTAGTGGATGGGCGTTTGCTTCATTTTTACTTTGTTGTTGTGGTGTCATTTATTTTTATTCTGTCTTGTTTCCTTTGTTGGCAGCGTTGTCGAGATATTTGTTCTGATGATTTTGTGAGTTGGAGGGTGATTGTTGCAATGTTGAAGAAGGAGAGAGAAGAAAGGAGGGCAGAGGGGTAGTAGGAAGGTTATGGCTTTGTGTATTACTTAGTCTACTATATCTACAAACACCCTCGTTCTATTCTACTCTTGCGTATAATACCATCCCCTACCAGATTATTTAATAATTATTTTTACCCTTGTTTGGCGATGGGGGTGGATGGTTGAAATGAACTTTGAAGAGGTGGGGCATATGATGGGGAAGTGTGAAGTGTAAGAGAAAGGGGGGAGGGGGGACGTGTGAGATCGAGGCAAGGATGATTTTGCAGTTATATTTGATATAATTCCAAATCAAATCCTGCATTCCCATATTGATTTATTTTCTTCTGCAATTCAATATCTTACTGAAGTTTAACTTCTTTGGCAAATTCGAAGGAGCTTGGGATGAGGGGAGTGTGCTGTCTTCTTTGACCTAAAATTCCTCTCATCTTTGATTTTGTGAATGGGTCGTTTTCTGCTCCCAGTCCGTCATTGTCTCTGGGCGGTTGTTTCGTGCAGCTTACCTGTGATGTGATGTAAGGCCCTGCAGATGGTATGAGGAGCATCTGATGCAGGTTAGTTATCAAATATTCCCAAGTCACCAATTCACTCCCCTTTTCTCCCCCCCTCCCACATTTGTATTATCTATCAAGCCCTTCTTATCATCCTCTCCCTTCTTATGCTAATCGACCAATTAGTCATATATCATTACGTCACATTGCATGGCCTTATCTAACTGCTACAGCCTCGCTCACCACAGACCAGGCACAAGACAAGACAAATTCAAAGCAACTAACAATGCAAATACATACGTCCGTATACGGAAGATCTCCTAATGACTGACCGCCAAAGGAGTGCACCCCCTCTCTTCCGGCGGAACCATCCATCCCACACGCATCGCCACACTTCTTTGTTGACTAATATGGTCAACAAGGTTTCATGGCGGTGAACTGTAGGGTTGCGCTGCATCAAATTGGGGTGCATTTTTTATTTCCTTCTCCCATGGCTCTGAGGTCCCTTTTCTTTTACTGCCCCCAATATATATAGTTATATAGTTATATATATATATATCTACTATTGGTTGGCATTCAGAGTTTGCGCCGTTTTCTCCTTTGCCCATGGCTTTGAAGATTGGCCTCCATTTTCACTAATTATTATTTGTGCCTTGGTGGGGCTGGGGGTTGGAGCGTTTGGAAGTTTGATATTCATCCTCCGGCACTAGTCCATAATAGGATATTGTATTTCCCGATTGGGGAAGTACTACGGCTATTGGTTTAGTTGTCTTGGCCCCCCCCTTTTTCGGCTGACGTTATGCGCCGCGTCCTGCTGCGCCTGCGACCGTTTTGCGACTTGCGACTGCGACCTGCGACTGCGACCTGCGTCGGGTGTTGAAGAAGTGTGGAACTTCCTCTGCTTATTGCTCGAACTATGAAGAAGACAAGACAGGGCTCTAGAAACGTGCCATCCTATGCTTAGCCAGAGCTCTCCTTCGGGGATCGCGCTGTTTGGCTGAATGATTATCATGTGAAGTTCGAATATCTAGGTATACGGACCTTTCCCAAGCTCGGGATGCCGCTTCAGACAAACAACCATCCTGGCTAGCATCTCAGTCTACTCACCCCATGTCACATGGGTTTAAAGGCCACCATCTAAATTCGAACCTTCGTCAGTGAGTGCGTGCCCTACCATCTACAGCTCAATGAAGATATGCGCTTTACTGTGGACATGTAAAATAAGAAACTCTTCTGGAAGCCAAAGGATAGTACCGTACTAACCAACTTCAAACTAATGGATCCGGAACTTTCCTGTCAACTAACTTCTTAGGTCCACAAAATTGCCTAGGCAAGCTAGGAAATAGTTACGCTTTTCAGTCATTGTAGGCACAAATTCGTAGCACAGTCCTCTTTTAGAGACCAGGACCTATTTACTGATAGATATAGCAAAATGGACCACCAGTTGCGCTGAGCAAATCTCCCAGCCTGCACTCATCACCCAGATACCCTAAATCAACCAGGTCGTCTGCGGTTCCGTTTCGCGACGAAGGATTATACATCTCCGTATCGCCGGCCACTGCGTGCAGGCGATTTGCTGGGTCCAGGTTCTGCCAGATCCACCATATCCGGTCGATTTGGGAGTGATGGAGGTAGAAGACCGGGTCGCCCGGGGAGATGTAGAAATCCTATCTAGGTTGTTTAAAATACATGCCAGCCGCTTGGTTGGTGCGCCCTTTGATTGGGGGGCGTCCTATAAAATTAAGCGGTTGGAGGGTAGTACGTACTCCGCCTGGGTCACCGCTGGTAATGAAATGCCCACCGCCATGCACGCCGATGAAATCGGTCACGGGATCTGCTTGCATGAAGTTTTGGAAGGATAGAATGTCATTCTTGGTGGTG